GTTGTGAACGCCGCCATTTTGTTGCTTGTGCAGAGCAGGCGCAACTGCCGATCGTCATGATTCAAAAGTGCGACGTCCTCAGCATTAGATTCGGTGTTAGGAAGCTCATGTAATGTTGCTTTGCTTTGTCGACAATTGTTTAAAGTGGAGGACGGAAAAGTGTTTCTTGTGATTTCAGATAAAGCTTCAAATAACTGGCATCCATGATTTTAAGCCACAATAAGGCCAAGTGTCGCTACTCTGAAGCGTAGCTTATTTAATGACACTATTCATGCTCTTGTTCAAGAGGCTTGTAATACCTGGAGGGGCCATTACGTAAGCCCCGTGAATTCCACAAGCCACTACTAGAAAAAAAAAAAATTGGGTTGTGTGTGTGTTTATACAGCCTAGAACTTGGTCTGCCTCACAGGGGCGACGAGTCTCCCAGCTGTAGATGAGAAATTTAGCCAGTGCGGTACAGCCGCTAGCCTGGGGTCTTTAACGTGCATCACGCAGTGATGCACTACTAGAGTCACTCGATATGGCAGCGTAGCCATAGAGTATGGCGTAGCTGCCAGAGTAGCGCCACGCTTTTCCCTGTGCCGCCTCTCACCGTGATTGGTCACACGCGGTACCATAGCAACGAGCTGAGCTGGCTCGGTTTCCTTAGCAACCGAGTGACTACTCGTCACGTGACCTCGCAAGAGCCGTGATGTCACCGGTAAGATGGCAGCGCCCAGCGCTGGTGGATACGAGTTTGTTCGGTGCGCGGTAGTCGTAATGTGCCGGTGCTTGCCGACGATTTCGGACTTCTTCATGCTCTCTGACGCAGGTATAACATGAAGATCTGAAAGAATGTGACTTTATGCCTTTTCTGTGCAAGATCGCTCTGGATATTAGCACCTGTGCGACAGCATCAGTCATATCGCCGTAGCGGTGCTCGTACTCCTGGATGTGTTCGAGGATCGATAAGACATTTTGCATGCAATTTTCGCATACTCCTAGCCTTGTTTGAACGTTGGAATGTCTGAGAATCAATGCGAATTGTATGCGTCGCATGTTGGACCTTGGGGAAGTTGCTTCAGCCCCAGGTAACCGTGTAATCACAAAACTTTTAACGAGGAAGCTCCTGTGATCTTTACGTCTTGTACTAATCAACAGTATTACGATATAGCTTTTAGGATAACATTTTCGCATTTTCTAGCTTCCTTTGACTGTTGGAATTTCTGAGAATCGTAACGAAAGGTATACGGCGTGTGTAGGGCTTAGGGAAAGTTGTTTCAGCCCTGGGTCACCGAATAATCACAGCAACGTTAAGCGAGGAAGCGCCTGCGACCTTTAACCTTTTGTACTAATCGACGATTTTATGAATTGACAGTTCTGAAGACTTTGATAAACGTCCTTTCGTTGCAATAGCTTGCATTTGATCGCACTGATTTTTTTTTTCAAGTGACAAGCAGGCGTTTGCTCAAATGACGTATATGAAATGACCTGCTCTATAAGAATGCATCAACACACACTATTAATTTTATATGCCCAGAGGTCTGTTCGTCTTTGTAATTAACGAGTTACAGACAATTATTTTTCACGAGTGTAATATTTATTTTCTGTAGCTGGGCCCGTTTTGTACTCATTAATATCCGTGTGCCATGATGCTATCATCATGTGTGTATGGTTCTAAATATCCTCTTTGCAATGCCTACAAAAGCCAAAATGACGCCAGCCTACCGCAGCTCACGCATTTGACACGAAAATTGCGTCACTCGGACGTATGCGCTCGTCAACAATCAATTCGTCGATGAATATTTGAATTCGCGTTCGTGGCCAATGAGTGCTCATGAGTGCACTTGCGAATGACAAGTTCAATGGTGTGCTTAAAAAGCATGGTGGAAGCTTGGGGTCATCCCACCGGTGCCCTAGCATGTCACGACCGCGTGATTCCACTATTCTCTTTTGAGTTGAGGATTAAAGCTAAGGAAGAAGAAGTTAAAGAAACATTTCATGGCCCCTTTAACACGGGTATAGACGCTTTACAGCAGCTGTGCATGGACGCCGCCATAACTGACCTTCAGTTTTTGTTTCCTCTTATTTCGTTTATTTCACTTCATCATTACCATAGCAGGTTGGGTTATTGCCATATTGGACTCAACTCTGTCCTTTTCTAAAGCATCGGCCTTTGTAGAGGATCGTCAACTACCGTTTTAGTTGCTCGGCATCTCGGTAAGACAAGAGAAGGTCAGCTATGGCGGCCGTAATTTGGCGCGTGTGTAAAGCGTCTATACGCGCTACAATAAAAATATTGACATTTTGCATGCCGGTAAACTTCCGGACGACCACTTGGCCTGTCGGCAAGAACACCTCATATCCGACGTCCGTATTTTTTTATGGCGTTAACAATCCTCTGTAGACCACCGTGCTGTCCTTCTTGGTTTAACCCCGTCGACTGTTCATCGCCCCGAAACGAGGGTGATACAGTCGTCGACGTCGGTCCCCGCCAGTCGGTGAGATAATCTCATCTTGAATGAATGATTGGGTCTTGAAGAAGTATGGTGCTAAGCATACGTTCTCTTACTATGGGGCCGTCGAGCAGCAGTCATGTCCCAAGGCAATCGTCCTGTCGTGAGCGGCGTTATCGGATTTTGTTCCATAGGAGCGAAGTCCGAAAGTGCAAGGACGGTACGTTCGTCCCACGAAGCCGCCGCCATCCACTCGCGTTGTCCGTGCACGCTGCAAATCATCTCATTTCACAGAAGAAACAGACACCGCTCCTCCAGAGGCCCGTGCCGTATACCGCCATGCAAAGCGCCTTTTAGGTCTTTTACCACTTTTCAATTAACGAATGGAGATTTCAACTAGATAAAGGTTGCCGCCCGGCGTCGCTAGCAGTACGGTTACCATAGAAACCTCCCAGGCCCAAAATGGAGATCACTATAGGCGCTTCTGACGTCGTGTATCTAGATAATTTTGCGTCGTGTCGCTACTGTGGCAGCTACGCTGCCATATAGAGTGGCTCTAGCCACTACCTTTTGACACCTTCCTCTTCTTCATTGTTCCCGCTTGTGCCAGTAAATTAGCTTGCGGTTCCGAGTAACGACACTTGGCTTAAAATTGTGGCTTAAAATCATGGTTGCCAGTTATATGGAGCTTTATCTAAAATCACAGGAAACGCTTTTCCGTCCCTCACAAATGTTTAAACAACCCGCGACAGATCATTTCAATACTGCATCAGCTTCCTAGCACCGCATCTAATGCTGAGGAAGTCGTACTTTTGGATCATGATGATCGGCAGTTGCGTTTGCTCTGAGCAAGACCCAAAATGGCGGCACCCAAACCAATTTTGGGGAACTGAGTGCCGATAATTTAAAGCTTATGTAGTGACTCTAGGCATAAAGTGAACTCGGGTGTATTATTTTCCTCTTCGTCTTTATTGTTTATTGATTTCAATCATATCGAATAATGAACGCATTATATCACGCTACGCTTGTGTAATTATTTGTCTTAGATTTATTAGCCTGACCCAATACTTAAACCATTCATTTATCGATAGTAAATCTTCCAATATATTTTTTAAATGTGAAGGTAAAAAGACACGGAGATTGATGATGATACAGATGCCAACGCCGCCCTCGGAAATTTTTTGAACACTAAAAGTCAGCAGTTTGTCTGACATCCGCCAGGTAGCGCAACAAAACACCCAAACAGTTTTCAATTGTTTTTAAAATTAGCTAAGCTCTACACCTATTAAGAAACCAAAGCAAGATCATTGTGAAAATTTAATACATCGCAATGTATATCTATTCCAAGCAATAAATGTTATTAAATGCCAATAAATCTGTTTGATGTCCAAAACAGATATGCGTCAAAAACAGGTAAGTTTGAAGGGCTCCTGGAGCGTTATGACTTTGAAAATGAAAAAAAGCCATCGTCCATCTCTTGGGCAACCATTGTAGCTCTAAATGTTATAAAAGATTTTATCATAGTTTAATTATTTCTTCAGCGGCATTTGAACTACCATGACTCGAAGCACAAAAAAGTGCTACGTTTGATATAAAATATCTAAACAAAGAAATTTTACACAACATTAAATTTTTTTCTGCATATTTCCAATTATTAGCACTACATCTGTAGCTAATTTCATTCCCCTAGCGCTTGTCATTAAAAACATATTAGCGCTGAAAAATGTCAATTTTAGGGCAATATTTGGAGGGATGAAAAAAACAAAGTAGTGCAAATATAAAAAAAGTGGATCGTTAGATTCTGCTCCGATATCATCTTAACAAAACTGCTATATTGGAACCGTGCTATCTTTAATGGATCGTTCATAAAACATGAACTAGCGGAGCAAGTGAGGGTCCGCGCCATCATATTCGCAACGCTACAAATGCGCATGAACAGTAAAAACCAACACATACATAATATCAAATGAAAGAGGATTGCATTACCTTTCGAATGACATCAATCCCACAAAACAGTATTTAAAAGGAGATGAGTAATGACCTACCAAAAAGTACCTAAACTGCCACATTCAGTGGGACCGTGGCCTTAAGCGAGTGCTAGCTTTTCACACAAAACAAAACGCTGCGATCAGATGCAAGCTACTGCAATAGCAGCACTTTATAACCAAATATTAAGAACTCCAAAATCGTTGGCAAGCAGCTGCACATCACGAATACCGCGCATCGAACCAACTTGTATCCACCAGCTGTGGGCGCTGCCAACTTACTGGTGACGTCACGGCTCCTGTTAGATCACGTGACAAGCAGCCACTTCTGCGTACAACATGGCGACAACCGTGGTCCGGGTGCCATTTTCTAACTTCCGGTTTATAACTCTATGCCGCTTTGCCTCTACAATTACACTCCCCCCCCCCCCCCCCCCACCCCTCTCCTTCCCCTCGTACAAGCGCTTCGTAGAAAGTGGCCTGCTCATTTGAGCAATGCAGTACATGTTTCGTACAGCTGTGAGCATTTGAAGAGTAAAATAAAAATTCGCTCTGTTGCAGCCGTACACGTTATGCGCTCTATTTTTGGTCTATGCGCTCTATTCTTCGTCTGGGAGGAACAGCGTCCGTAAGCTTGTAGTCCCCTAGAGTGCACACCCATGTCTAAGACGTCGCCTCGTACGGTCCTCAAAATAGCCTTGACTATTTCGTGTGCAGCAATCGTTGTCTCGCTGGTATATTGTGAATGGTTACGACGGTTACCTTGCCCCACGCCATCATCCGGCGGCACGACCAGAGAGCAGGTAATACGCAGTGTTGTTGCTATGGTCACTGAAAGAACGAGAACGGTAAGGAGGTCCCTCACTTGCCCAGCCTCCCGAGCAAGCTCCCTGCCTTCCATAATTCTCGGGCATCTCTTGAGCCTCGAGCGTGCTCACGCAGCCAAAGCACGGTGTAAGGCAACGGGCGCGTGGTGGTGGCCAGGCATTCGAAGGAACGCCCTGCATTTCCCATCCTGTCAGTGTCTATAGCGGTCTTTCCGATTCCGATTTTTTCTGCAGATATTCCAAGTGTAGTCCACAGGGAAGTCTTCTGAATAAACCTTGCGTTGGTATCTTTCGAATTTCGTGGTTTTCGCAGAGGGAACGAAAAAGATAGTTTTATATTGTTTCGTTTGGTATCCTAGAACATTTCACCTATTGTTTCCTAAAAAGCGTGAATGAAACCGTAGATGCACACGACCCTAGAATAGGTTCTGGATAATAAGGACTTTTCCTAGACAGTAGGCAAGAGGTTTGTGTTGATTATAGAGTTATTAAAATAAACACTAGAGGGCTCAGCTGGCGCTGGTGTCTACGGGACTACCAGTTGCAAATTGAAGCAGACAGCATGCAGTCTACTTTTCCAGTCTTCCTGTGTATTCCTGTGGGAAAACGTACGTGCTGATTTTTTCCTCGCCAGGCATTAATAAATCAGCATAGTTTTTTTCACTCGTAACGGGTACTATGTAGTTTTATTCACATTGTAAAAGTTTGACTAACTTATTTAATGCTTTTTTGTATTACTGACTGACGTTTAAGTTAGCAAACATTGGGGCCCAGGTCTATGTTGTACAGCATTGGATGTCAATAAAAGCTATGAATTGAAGCAAAAAGAACAACGATCGTATTTATGTCAGAGAAACAACACTCGCTTACTGCATTATTTTGATTATTGATGCAAAGTGTGTTACTAATCCAGTAAGTGTTCTTCGTTCCATAACTCCATGCTTCGTTCTTGTCGTCTGTTATGATTGTTTGATTTTGCATATATTAGCGCCCGTTTGGTGTTTTGTCAAGCTGATTCACTATGTGCTCTTCATGGCATTGACTGTATGAGTAAATACGTGCCCCATAATAACAGTCTGCGACGTCAGCATGTATTATACATCTGTATTGGGCTATTTTAGCGCAGTGTTAGACCCCTGAATTTTAAAGAAAAAACGCTCCAACTGACGCATTATTTCGTACACACTATTGTAAAAAGTGCCAAACTTTTTATTCTGTCACAACACTAAGCAATATTTGCTCTTGTAATCGAGCGCGAAGATAAAACGCATTTGCGTTTTCCGATAGGAATGGATTACCGGAAGTCGAATTTAGACTGCTTGCTGTCTGCTTCAAAATGCAACACCTCGCTAGCGCCACCTGAACCCGTAGCGTTTGTTGTAATAACTCTATGGCGTTGGCAGCGGGCGCTCGTGACGACTCTTCGAGCACGGATTGAGCACGCTTCCACAGGGTCCGCAATCCTCAGTGTATACCACTGATCTATATCACTATTTTCTGGATCGCGTTTGCCCGCTCCGCCAATAGGGCCACGGTCGGCCATCTTTTTGGTAAAGTAATATTATCTCTCGCCACACCATATTTGTATGGTGGCGCGATCTACCTCCCCTTAAAAAGGGTGCACGTTTTCAACCCACAGCTGAAGGGCCGCAGGGTGACTTCATGAGGACCCTCGGGAATGCTTACCTATGGTAAGCTCCGATAGTAAGTTCCGATGGTAACATGGAAATACTTACCGATGGTAAGTTCCTGCCTTTTCGCAATCAGGACGATTTGAACAGCGTGCCGCACAGCATGACGGCATAGTCAACCTTCCTATGTCGCATCCATTGAATTTCAAGGTTCTGCTAGTACACTGCCACGGTACAGTGTACTAGACCCACGGCAATTTTTATAACAGCCTGCCACCATAGCGCTGTCAGCCATATTACTATGATGGTTATAGATAATATAACTCTACCAAAAAGATGGCCGACCGTCGCCACATTTTTGCGCATAGGCGGAGCTGGGCAAACGCGAGCCAGCAAATGATTATAGAGATCAGCCGTGAATAAAACCTTCGACAAGTACCGTTTTGCAGTTCTCGTGTCTATTCTTAATTTCGTTTTCTTTATTTTTGTTTGCGCAGACTTCTAGACTCAGCGACGAGGACTTTGCGTTCAGAGCAGAAAGAATCAACAAAGTGTGTCGCACGTACCAGGTGGCCCTGGCAGATCACAACAGACGCATTCTGAAGCGGAAGTTCAGCGACGAACGGCCCAATTTCTGCCCCATGCAATATTGTCCCATCATGATCGACCCTGTACGCAAAGTTGGCTACTGCATCATAAGCAAGGTTGCATCCACCACAGTCAAGTCTATTTTCGGGCTCCTGCTACACGTCAACAACACGGGAAACACAGTTAACAGCTTACACGATGCATTTGATGCGCAAGTCCTTGGAGTCTCACCCATGACATTTCTACAGGGGAGCAGCCAGGAGAGCTACAGAACCGCCATGTTCGTGAGGCACCCATTCGAGAGGCTAGTATCCGCTTACGTGGACAAGGCGCTACGCCCACGTGCTGGCAATGTCTATTATTACGACCGGTACTGGCACGACGTGCCTGGCGTCAAGGCAACGGGGCGGAACTTGACCTTCCCGGAGTTCATCGACAACTTACTGAATCAGACAGTGAACCAGATGAACCCTCATTGGGCTCCGTACTACGTGACGTGTCAGCCTTGTACCGTCAAGTACGAGGTCGTCGGAAAGCTGGAGACAGCAAGCAGAGACTTTGCGCTGTTCCTTGAAGCGCTCGGTGCTCGGCCGGGGGACATTCCGCAGAAAAACAAGGGTAGCGACTACGGGTTCCGCAAATCTGCTCGAGAGTTTTTTAAGGAGCTCACTTTACATCAGGTGATGCGTCTATATGAGCGGTTCTTCTTCGATTTCGAGATGTTCGGGTACGACTTCAGGGACTATCTGCACTGACAGTGTATGGGAAACCAAAGGATAAGGCCAACTTAAAGAGAGTCTCAGCCAGTGCTTCAGCAAATCTTCAGTAGATAAAACGAGGAACCATGCCTCGAACCTATAAAGTGACTGTGTTTTCTTTTTTTTTTGTGTGTTTTTTTTTCTTCTTTTTTTTCCATAATGCGTGTTTGGAAATTTAGATTTACCCAATAATATACACGTCTAGACAACGTTAGTGTACCGCCAGCCTAAAATAGTGTCTCATATGTTGACCCATAGCTTCCTATTTACTGATAATGCCTGCCCAATCGCCGATTGTCAGTTATCACCACAAAAGCGCGCCGCTTCCCCATACAAGACGGAAAATGTGTACGACGTGAATAAGCCTCTCTCGTGCGTTGAATTATTGGAGCTCTTTCTGGCATTTGTCATGATCGCTGTGGGCAAGAACCTGCCGGTGCGGTCAGTTTATTAGGCCCCAAGCTACACCTGACACCATGAAAGCTCATTTCGAGGATAGACCGTACCCCAATTCTACCTCCTGCCACTCAACAGTATTCGGTAGGCAGAATTTCGAGCCAGACACTAAGGATAGCCTCTCTGGTACCCCCCCCCCCCCCCCCCCCCATGCATCTTGCCGAGGCTTCACTCAAATCCCAGCTTGGCTCAGGCCTCCCTAGCGTTGAAGCTGGATCAGCCCATGTGCCGTTCCAAGTCCTCTTTCGGCGCTGCTCTCACTGGCTCTCAGCGGCTACCCCGCTACATCTTCCTTGCGCACCTCGAGTAAGTGACGGGCGCCTGTCGACAAGCACAATGCGTTTTTCCCGAACGTGTGCCCCAGCACAGCTAACGCCTTTCACACTGCTTAGCTGACTTCGTAGCTCTTATAACTCCGGAGGCTACTGGCCGTTGCAATTTCTCGTCACATTCTGCTTTTAGCCTGGTCTCTGACCTCAGAATTAAAAACGTTCAGTGTTCGCTGTTACCTTGCCTGACGTTTTGGTGCTTTTTGGACGGTTTTTAGCTTTCTTTCTATGTATTCTACAATTATAAAGCTATTGTCAAAAAAAGATACGTTTTCCACAAATGCTTTAATGTCTCGATATTACGATTATTTTTATTTGTTAGTTAATTATTCAGCTTCTAATAAACCACAGTCTCTAATGTCGAAAAAAAATATTTCTCGAGTTATAACGTCCCATTGTCCACGGTAGTTTACGTGAGCGTTCGGTTGGATATACTGAGTTAAAAAAAGCTGCAGAAAACTCTACGGATAATGTATATTTTAAAATAAAAAAATAAAGTTTGAAATGGTGTTATTTTAGGCTGCTATTAAAACGGAATCGTGTCAACTAATCAATATTACAAGACATTAAATTACGAATCATTCTTCGATATTACATTTTCCAGAACTCCTATATAAATATATTACAGGTTAAAAATGTTATTAGACCTCAAACGTTTCTCATTTAATTACGGCAAATTGCAGTTTCCTTAATATAAAATACAGATGGCGACACGCGTTCCAGAATAGCTTGATGTGCATTTGCCGTCGTGTGCCGCTTGGAACGCCACGAGAAAGATAGAAAAAGCACCAAACGTCAGGGTGTCAGATGCCTGGATGTCCGCACTGAGCGAGCTCGAGATGTCAGAAGAACAAGCGCAAGGCTGCGGGGGCAACACAGCCGCTTTTGCGCGCGTTCTACCGTGCGTCGGCACCACGCACGGTAATGTTTTTATCACTTGCAAGAATCATTTTTACAACCAAACTATGCTCCTCGGAATGGTTGCCAAGGCTTCCTTAACGCCACTATGTTCCACTGTAGAGTCTTACTGCATCAATGTTCATGTCCTCGGATGTTGCAGGCGACTCCTCGGGACGCAGTTCTCATTGTTGCTATCATACCGTCTTTTTCAACCTTGCTTTTGCCAGCGCAGGAGTAAGCGTAAGCTGCGAGTCCATCTGAAGCGTTTCCGACAGCTTTCCGTCCCGCATGCCGACGACCAGTCGATCACGCAGCATTCGTTGTTTGAGGTCCCCAAAATCACAACGGTCTGCTATGGTGTGAAAAGCTGTCACGTACTGGCCGATGGTCTCGTCTAGATTCTGCACACGCCGATGAAAGCAGGCGCTCTCGTAGACGACGTTTCTTTCGTTCATGAAGTGCTCATTAAACTTCTTTTCGACTTTCTCGTAGTCTTTCAAGTTTTCCTCACTCAGGCCGAAGGTTGCAAAAATTTGCCGTCCCTGCCTTTCTAGAGTATAGAGAAGGGTTCTGACCTGAGCCTCGCCGCTTCTTTCGTTGAGACCGCTTGCGAACCGGTAGTCTTCGAACTATTGAATCCACACTGACCATTCTGACGCTTTGTCAAAGTCCAGTTTAGGTGGTGGTTGCAGTCCCAGTCCCCCGTGAGCTGGTACCAATGTCCCCATGGCTTGCTCTTCGGGCATATTCCTGGTCAGATGGACCCCATTCCTGACACCATGTGGCGTTGCGGCAGAAGCCAGGAAGGAACGACGAACACGAAGTTTTAAAAAAAAATCAGTTAGGGCGCAGGCGAGCTGGTGTAGGTTTACCTTTTTTTTTAGACCACCTGAGACTGGGTGGTCTAAAATAAACGAAGTTCTGTGCCGAGCCAAAAAGTCTTCATTTATTATTTTTCAATCCTTTGATATCTGTCTGCTAAGGCAGCATGACGCAGCGATACGCTGGCGCGGAGCCAGCGATATAAGATATCGCTTCAGGCAGAAGTTATTTTAACTGTCCCCGCGCTCAGTGCTAAAAATAATATTGATAATTTAATAGTGTAATTATTTGACATTGGCATTAATCTTGTTATGTTGTAAGCATAAGCCTTTTCTGACAGTCCCACTTCGTGTTTACCTAACTGAATATCTACAACAGCTGCGGCTTATTTTTTGGTCTTTCAAGACTCGCGGTAAAATAAAAATCGCAGTGACCTAAAAAGAGACTCGTGAACAAAGAAAAATAGTTCCCCCCCCCCCCCCTTTGTTTTTTTTACTTCTTCAGGTATTCAATTCCTTAAGGTGCAACCCCACCGTGCATGACGTTTTGGTGCTTTTTTGACGGCTTATAACTTTTTTCTATATATCTTACAATTATAAAGTTAATGTCAAATTAAAGAGCTGTTTTTCAACAATGCTGTAAAGTCTCGATATTACGATTATTCTTAGTTTTTAGTTACTTATTCACCTTTTAATAGACCACAGTCTCTCATATTGAAAAAAATATTTCTCGAGATATAACGTCCTATCGTCCGCGATATTTTACGTGAGCGTTCGGTTGGATGTAATAAATGAAAAAAGTAAGCAACGAACTGTACAAATAATGTATATTTTAAAATAAAAAATAAAGTTCAAAATGGTATTATTTTATGGCGCAATAAAAACGGAATCACGTAAACTAATCAAAATAACGAGACATTAAATTATGAAGCATGCTTCGATATTACATTTTCCAGAACTTCCATATTGATACATAACACGTTAAGAATGTTATAAGACCTCAAACGTTTCCCCTTCAGTTACGACAAACTGTAGTTTCTTAATATAAAGTACAGATGGCGACACGTGTTCAAGAACAGCTTGATTTGCATTTTCCGTCGTGTGCCGCTTGGAACGCCACGTGAAAGACAGAAAAAGCGCCAGATGTCAGGATGTCAGATGCTTGGACGCCCGCAGTGAGCGAGCCAGAGATGTCAGAACAACAAGCTCAAGGCTGCGGGTGCACCGCAGCTACTTTTGCGCGCGTTCTACTGTGCGTCGGTACACACGCCCGACGCGATCCAAATGAAATGGGCGCCATGAATTGCATTCTGCCATTTCAAATTCCGCCACGTATGCGAAAACATTGTAATGTTTTTATCACTTGCAAAAATCATTTCCGTAATCAAGCTATGCTTGTCGGAATGGTTTGACTATATTTTGTTAAAAAGCCACCTCGGTGGCTTTCAAGTGGCAATAATATTAAAACTAAAACAAAACATTAAATCGTCTCAGTTTCTCTGAGCCAACGTGCTGGCCCATGAACCCATTATTAGAGAGTATTAAGGTCTGTTCACACGATGCATCTTTTAGGCGCGCAACAGTTTCGCGACACTCAAGTTTCGCGAAATGTGCTCGTTCACACGTACCGCTTCACGTGCAACAACGATGACGTTTTGACTCGCGAAAATAGTTTGGGTGTTGACCATAAAGTGGCGCTTCAGTTGAAAGCCAACATCATCATCATCACAATTAGCCCTTCAGCGTCGTGTCATTTACTTCAATTTACTTATTTTACTCTTAAATTGTCATTTACCAGTTGTTGAATTGCCATTTACTTTATTTACTGTTGAATATGTATAATTTGGATGGAGGTTGACAAAGAAGAAGACTGTTGTGGAAGTAAATGAGAGCTGTACGCTGTGCTGGTTCGAGACGGTACTGTGTACGTCCCTTTTTGTTTCCTTGTCTCAAGGTTTTATTTCTTAATTATGACTAAAAATAGACGCGAATTATCATCATCACCGATTACGTCTTCGTCCATCTCTGGATTTTTTTCCGATATGCTACTCACTTTTCCTTCAGTGGTGCTTGACGTGCTTGCGGAATCGCCGGCAGTATCCATCGTTCGTGGTTTCGTTTTTTTTTTTTTTTCGGATTTGAATCGGCTGCAACACCGGCAGTGAAGTGGTCTTCTCAAACAGCTCGCTCCCCCCTCAAAGGCCACGTGAGAGCGTTTCTGAGCGGCCATTGGCGGCTCCCTCAGAGTGATTGACAGGTCTCGGCAAAGTTTCAGCAAAAGCTCGCTCCAGAAGCGAGGTGTGCGCGCAACCTTTTTTAGATGCGCGCGTCCTTTTCGGACTCGTTCAGACGGCGCAACCATTTCGCGAAACTACGTTTCGCGACACTAGATGCGCGAGAAAAATGCATCGTGTGAACGGGCCTTTAGCTTACCGCCTACCGGGCGACCGGGGGTTACCGCGACCGTCACTGCAGAACTGCGCATGCGCCA